GTGTGTGTGTGTGTGTGTGTGTGTGTGTATATATGTATATATGTAAATGGCGCCGCTGACGCAGACTTTTGTGCTACTTTCACTCAAACGCATATACGTTGCATATACCCATTCATATCCCCGCTTGCCCACCCTAGTGTGCCCATCCTCAGGTATTACGTATATATCTCTATACCGTTTTAACTCAACAGTATGAGATTACATATTTAAAAGAAGAGTTGGAAGAGAAGAAAACAGATGCCGTAGAAGCGCTGAGGGATGCGTCTGAGAGTGCTGTTTTAGTGACCTCGCTGAGTGCGTCAGTCACCGAACGAGCATTGCAGATAGAGGGTGAGTGTGTCTAATACTATCCGCACTATAAGACTATAAGCAAACACACGAATAGTAAACGCTCTAAGAATAGCGTGTTCATTACTAGTGTGCTTGTTATAGGAGCGTCTATTATTAATGTGTTGATTATGTGAGTGTGTTTATTATTAGCGTGTTTATTGTTGGTGCGTTTATTACTGGTGTGTTTATTATTAGTGCATTTATTATTAGAGGGTTTATCGTTAATAGGTTTATTATTGGTGTGTTTAATATTGGTGTGTTTATTATTAGTATGTTCATTATTAGTGCGTACATTATTAGTGTGTTATTATTTGTGTGTTTTTATTAACGTGTTCAATATTATAGTGTTTATTATTAGTGCGTTTTATTATTGGTGCGTTTATTATTAGTGTGTTTATTATTAGTGTGTTTATTGTTGGTGCGTTTATTTGTGTATGTCTGTCATGGTCTATGTAGGTCAGAGGGTTAGTGCGTTTACTTATGTATGTGTGTTAACTCCTGTGTAAGCGAGAGGGTTAGTACGTTTATAAATATAAGTACCGGAAGCTAGCGAATATAGGGTGTAGGGTTATACCCAAACCATAAACCCTAAAACCCAACACATCCTTCGCATGTTTTTATCAGAACTTGAGAAGCAATTGCAAGAAGCCCATGACAGCAAGGAAACGCGCGAGGAGAGGGTGCTTGAACACATGCCACATGGGGTGAGTACTGCAGACATTGGCACAGTTATACGCTTATAATACGTTTATCACTCGTCCTAGGGGGTGAGTACCACAGACATGGGCACAGTTATACGCCTATAATACGTTTATCACTCGTCCCAGGGGGTGAGTACCACAGACATGAGCACAGTTATACGCTTATAATACGTTTATCACTCGTTGCAGAGGTCAGGTCCTACCTACCGGGGCTCAATTGTACGTTTATTTATACGTAGTAAATTATTTATATCATGTTAAATTAATTTTTAAGTTGCCTTTGTCTAGCCTGTCTGTTGTAGAGAAATCGCTGAATGTCTTGTACTTGGGTGGTGGAACTCTAGCAAATCTCCAAAATTAGATGCTAAAAAATTACTTGTCCCAAAATAGATGCTCTACCTGTTCCAGAATATATGCTCTTCTTGTCCAAATATGTATGCTCTACTTGTCCCAAAATATATGCTCTACTTGTTCCAGAATATTTGCTCTTCTTGTCCAAATATGTATGCTCTACTTGTCCCATAATATATACTCTTCTTGGTTCAAAATATATGCTTCCCTTGTCCCAAAATATATGCTCTATTCCTCCCAAAATACATGCTTCTCTTGTCCTATTCTTGTGTCTAATACACAACCCCTCACTTTACGAATGACAGGCCACCGATCGGCTGGTAGATGAACTGCGTTCAGTGCAAGAGGAGCGTGACGACCTCAAACGCGACCTCGATGAGCTCAAACACGACCTCGACGACGCACGGGCAGTAAGTTATATGAGTCACAGTGTATATCTATGAGGTGAATGGTCATGTATCTGTCCGCGTTGGATTGGCACCTATGTATATAAGTATCAACTATCAGTATATGTATATGTATGTATGTATATATATATATATATATATATATATATATATATATATATATATATATATATATATATATATATATATATATATATAATATATATATATATATATATATATATATATATATATATATATATATATATATATATATATAT